ATAGTATAATACATACTCCAAGTATCGAAATGCACGCCATCGTGTCGGGATTCAATATTTCGACATTAATTATGTCATCATCAGGAATCATTAGGAATTCCTGATTATGACATCATCAATAGAAATTATTTTCAACACGATTGAGAGAAAAAATGTGGGTCTTCTTAATGTGGGTCACAGCGGCTCAAAATTCAAGATTCAAGATAATTGTATTGTCTGAAAAAACCCAGAAATTACGTTCCACTGCAGTGTTACAAGAGTGAACAACATAAATACAGTAATAAATAAAAGATAACAATAATACCTCTATATATCCTTTTTGTAAGCTTCAACCGCGGTTGACTATAATTATAATGCTGTAATACTTTTAAAGGTAACGATAACAATTAAAGTAGAGTTGTAATGATTTATAGGTCTACAGGTAAATTGCGCTATATAAGAATGAACTATTATTATTATTATTATTATTATTATTATTATTATTATTATTATTATTAAAGGCCACAGTAATAAAATATGGATAATTAAAATGCCTAAACAGTATATATTTTTCAATATATAAATATCAGAAAATCGTTGTCGCACACTAAAATCACAATAAAATTAATATCATTGTAAAAGTCTAATCACACACAATATTCATTTAAATATTGAAATTGTATTCATGAAAAATTTAAAAAAATAAGGAAAATCTTTAAAACCGTCTGTATATATTGTTTACATTTTGTCAAACTGTAAACAGGAAAGATGAAGAAATCTATTTGAGTGAAAAAACAAATCTGTCTCATTATATTTTTTGATTTGCAAAATAAAGCATAACTGTATAAGATATTATTGGTCTAATTAATAAAATTAAATGCTGAAAATGTCAATCTGAGATTAAATAATACAATGTGAAAATGTATGTTATTGAATCGATCTTCCTAACTGGACCCGTCGGTTGCGTCGACCCTTTGTCACTGGCTCTAGCATAACTGAGTAGTCTACCCTGACTAGCCTAGCAATGATGTAAAAACAAAAAGCAACAAAACTTATTTCAAACTTACCGCTAATATCACTCAAAAGTCACTCTTTCTCAATCGGTCACTACCAAAGCTTCTAATTTGTCTCTAGTGGCCATGGCTGACAACTGTGCCATAAGCAGGGGTGGCGCCAGGAGGTCCCTGACGAGGGGGGAGATGCCCCCGACGAGGGGTCATATTTCCCAGACGAAAGCAATGTGGGCGTGGTCAAGCTTCGATTAAAAGGTTTGGAACGTGGTCCAGGGGGCGAAGCCCCTGAAAATTTTAAGAATTTAGGGGTTTCAAAGGCTTATTTAATCGATTATAGTCTACTAATATGTAGAAAATACATATAATTTTGTTTCCTCCACGACGAATTTTCCTTATTCTCTCCGACGGGGGGGGGGGAGCACTCCCCGACGGGGGAGGGGGCTGTACCCCCATCCCCGCTGGCGCCACCCCTGGTCATAGGCCTTAATAGCGGTAATAATTACGATGAATAGAAAAGCCTAGGCTATTGTATCTACGACAAGTATGCCTATGATCATATCGTTCCTATTTTTTTCGTGTTAATTGTTGTTGTGTTGTTGTGAAATTATTAAGAAAAAATTGAATTATGTGTTCTTGATTTTTTTTTATTCATTTTTATTGTTGTTTAGTTTCATTTTGATGCCAAAATTGGCGTTCCATACAATATCGCCAAAAGTCAAGTGGTGCAGTGCAAAAGTCAAGTGGCGCAGTGCAAAAGTCAACTGGCGCAGTGCAGAAGTCAAGTGGCACAGTACAAAAGTCAAGTGGCGGCGCACGCATTTGAGTTTGCACTGCGCCACTTTAGTTTTGCACTGTGATTTTTGTTTGTCCTTTTGGTGTGATATCGCCAAAAGGACAACCACAAATGGCGCATTGCAAAAGTCGAGTGCAGTGCAAACGTCAAGTGGCACAGTGCAAAATTCAATTGGCGCACTGCAAAAGTCAAGTAGCGGCACACGCATTTGGATTTGCACTGCGCCACTTTAGTTTTGCACTGCGCCACTCGACTTTTACACTGTGCCACTTTAGTTTTGCACTGCGCCACTTGTGGTTTGTCCTTTTGGCGTTCCATACATTTTGTCCCTTGATTTAGAAAAGCGTTTGACTCAGTGAGTAGAGAATTTATTGTATATTTTAAGTTTACTTAAATTGAATTTTGGAGAGTCATTTTGTAAATGGGTGAAAACACTGTATAATAGCACTGACTGCATTATCGTTAATAATGGATGGATATCGAAGAGCTTTAAGATGAAAAGTGGAATAAGACAAGGTTGTCCGCTGTCTGCACTATATTTATCCTCACTACTGAAGTAATGGCTTGTAGTATAAGAAACGACATCCATTACAAGGGAATACCAGTACCTAACCGGAATAATACCGGCATTGAAGAGGTGCGTATTGAAAACTTCTCTCGAGAAAACGTGTAAGGTGGAAACTTTTACCTTTACATTACATTAATAAACTTGGGAATGAAAACATGATTTTTAGTATGTCCTACCTTAACATGAAAAACCGCACGATCTTTCAAAGTATACCATCTTTTTATCTAAAAGTTTTAGAGTGTTGTGCTGATTTTAATTAACTCAGTGATGATGTAATTAACAATTATGAACAAATCCTATAGCAAAATTTATGGGGAAATAAGAATAATACATTAAGTAACAAAGCTCAATTTTTTTTTAAATTGGATTTCATCGGGGTTAACTAAAGTCAAAAACATAGTAAGTTTTAATCGATTATTTAACACAACTGAAATCAAAGAGAAACTAAGTGTAAAAAATAACTGGCTCAGTGAATATACTACACTTATGCAATTCCAAAAGTATGGATAAACCAGTGGTGGCGCCAGGACCTGCCCGACGGAGGGGCTAAAGGCCCCGACGGGGGGGGGGCGCTAGTGGAGCGAATCGAGTCTCACTTGGCTGGAGGGGCGCGTAGGGCCCCGGTGGGTGTGGGAAGCCTGGAAGCCACGTGTATTTGATGAATTATGGCGGCGATTTTTTATTACTTATTTGATAGGCATCGAGTTACTATAATATGACCCCCCTCTGGCGCCACCACTGGGATAAACACAATCAAGCAATACAATAAAGCTAACGAGCATGTGAGAACAGAGTGTACTGCAATCGACAAAATAGCAAAGATGAATACGAAAAACATTTATTTAAATTTAGTCATAGTCCACCTCAGAGCATACTTAAATGGGAGGGTGTATTCGTTGATAAAATACAATGGACCGAGGTTTGGAGACACAGTAAAAAATGAAAAAAAAAATATATGCACAATTAAATTATAAATTATTGAATCGAATTGTAATAATTGTGATGCCATAGAAGATGAGAAACATGTTTTTGAATGTCCAAGTACAGTACATTATGGAAAAAATTGATAAAATATTTTTTTAAATAGATAACAGTAAAAATTATTTTAAAGAGCTCCTGCTGGGATGTGAGTGTCACATAAAAAAACAAATTATATACGATTGCTACTTATTCGATTTCATCATCACCATCATCCCATAGTCAAGTTGACCGTTTGGGGCACCGTAGATGACCTAGCAACCAGTTCCTTCCATCCTTCTAGATCCTCCGTCTTCCGTAGTGTGTCACTTAGCTTTAAGCCTGTCCATTCTGTGATGTTGTCTTCCCCTCTCTTTCTTTGTCTACCTCTCTTTCTGCATCCTTGCACAGTTCCTTGCAGGAATGTTTTGGCAATTCCGGACGATCTTGATATGTGACCGTACCACTTTAATTTTCTTTTCATTACAATATCAACAGATCTTCGTATGGCCCAATCGCTTGTCTTATTCTGTTCCTTACCTCTTCGTTTGTGATGCCGTCTTTATAGGAGATGCCAAGGATCTTTCTGAAGCATCTCGTTTCCATGGCCTGAATTTTTTTTTCTCTAACTCAGCTGTCAGAGTCCACGACTCACATGCATATAAGAAAATAGAGATGACAAGGGAGCGCATCAGCCTGATCTTAGAGCTGATTGAGATTTTCCTGTCATTCCAAATGGGTCGTAGTTTTGACAGTGCTGCTGTTGTCTGCGCGATCCTGGAGAGAATTTCCGGTTTTGATCCTTTATCTGACACAACTACCCGAGATATTTGAAGCTGTTGACGGTGTCCAATTTCTTGCCCCGAACTTTCATATCTGTGCTGATGCCATTGATGTTGTTGGTCATCACTTTGGTCTTCTCTGCACTGATCTGAAGAGGTTTTGTCGAGGCATTCCACTAAGTCAGCAAGTTCATGTTTTTTACCCTCAAGTCCATCAATATCGTCAGCAAAACGCAAGTTGGTGACTGTCCTGCCGCCAATACTAACCGTCCCTTCGTGGTTCTCCAGTGTGTCAGTCATGATTCTCTCCAGAAAGATGTTGAAAAGAGTGGGAGAGAGCAAACATCCTTGTCTAACTCCAACTGTAGTTCTAAACCAATCCCCTGTGCTGCCCTTGAAGTACACTGCACTGGGTGGCCTTGTCATAAAGGTTTTTGGTTTTAGTCAGGGTGGCATTGAAGTTGTACAGTCTCATGGTGGCCCACAAGGCTGCCTGCCAAACCCTGTCAAAAGCCTTCATGAAGTCGACAAAGACGTGGTATAGGTCTTGCTGGTGTTGTAGGTATATCTCGCACAATATTCTGAGGTTGAAGATCTGTTCTGTTGTACTGCGTCCTGCCCTGAAGCCAGCCTGCACTTCGGCAATGATTTTCTCTGCTTGTGGCTTCAGTCTATTCAGTATGATCCTCAGCATGACTTTACTAGAGTGGCTAATCAGACTGATAGTGCGGTAATTCTTGCACTGCTGTAAGTTGCCTTTCTTGGGAAGAGTGATAACCAGTGACTGAGTCCGGTGTTTGCCGAGGATCTCACTGGCTGATTCTGTCACTGCTGTGTTGAAGGTGTCAATCAGTATATCCATGTCATTGTCTGTGTGAGCGTCTCTGGCGGTCAGTGGGGCAAATTTACTACCTATCTGCTTGAAAGGCTTTTGCCACTTCTGGATCTTTCAGCTTGTCAAGGTCAAACTTGATCCTTACCTGGCCCGGTTTACTGGCCTTTTTTAGATGGAGACGGAAGGTCATTAGAACAAGGTCGTGGTCACTTCCGACATCAGCTCCTGGAAAAGTCCGAGTTTTGGCGATGTTAACACTTGAGCGGAAGCGCCTCTTAATCATGATATAGTCTATCTGGCTATGACTTTGTCCATTTGGGTGGTGCCATGTCCATCTTCTAGATGCTTTGTGTTTGCCAAATGTGTTAGTCAGTATGAGATCGTTGTAGCTGGCAAATTCCAGCAACCTCAAACCTCTTTCGTTTGATTCAGCATTACAGTACTTCCCGCATGCTTCTTTCCAGATTTTGTGAGCATCATTCCCTACTTTGGCATTCCAGTCCCTTGTACGATGATGATGTCTTTCTTTGGGATTTGGTCTATGACTTCTTGCAGTTGGTTGTAGAAGTCGTCCACCATTTCATTGTTATAATCGGAAGTTGGTGCATATGCCTGTATGATGGTGATGTTAAATGGTGTTGCTCTCATGCGGATGATGATGAGCCGCTTGGACATAGGTCTACACCCCATGACAGTGTTTACACTGTCGTTGTGGACAAGAAATCCAACACCATGCTCATGCTTTTGATCACTTCCACTGAAATACAATTTGTGTCCCTCTCTGGTAGATGTTTCCCCGAAGTTCTTCCAACGTACTTCACACAGTCCCACAATCGTCCATCGGTATCGTGCCTAAAATTCTCAAATTCTTTGCGCGCATTTCTTGATACGGTAGGACAATTTCCTCTATAAATTGCACATTTTAGATAGTTTTCATCAATTCCGACGAAATTAGAATTAAAAACACAAAAAATATTTTTAGGGCTTTTTTTAGTTTTATCCTTTTAAGTTATTTAAACACATAATAGTCCCAAACTCAAGAAAGACAAATTTAAGATAGATCATTTTAACCTAAAAGAAGGGCCTCAATGTGCATAGATGGTGAAAGAAGATGTTCTTTAATTTTATTAAAGAGGGCCCCTGAATGTCAGTTAACTTACTGGGCTAAACTAGAAGGGTTACCTCTTTAAAGATGGTTGAAATAAAAAATATACCCACTCTGACCCAAGACCCCTGTTACGCGCCTGGTGTTAGCGCCAATGTGTGCCCTTGTGCGGACAGGAGATGTGCCCCTCTCTGAAGCTGGAAACCTTGTTTTTGCAAAATAAATTGATGCAATTTGCTATTATAGGCCTAATCAATAAATTCCTCATCAACCGATATAACCTTAAACATTCTTGAAAATTGACATAACATTACTGATGTTATAATTATTATTTTTACAGTTGTACTGTATTTCAACATTGGTGTCATTGTCAATATCTTTATTAGGGCCTATTATTATTATTATTATTATTATTATTATTATTATTTTTATTATTGATATTATTATTAATGCTATTGTTTTTTATATTATTAATGTCATTATTATTATTAAATATAATTAATTGTCATTAATGATTACTGTTAATAATGGTATTGTTATTCTTTTTGATAGTACTTAATTATTGCTATTGCCGTAATTTTTTTTTGAATGTATGTTACATCGTTGCTGATCAGAAGTATTTAAAAAAGAAATCTAATTGTTAACAACAAAAGCTGTAAAAAAAAATTGCACGCATACCGGTATAAATAATTTTATTAAAAAAGACAAAACAAAAAAAAATAAAATACTAAAAAAGGGTACTGACATTATTATATCTTGCACAGATATAACGCATTGATAGTCAATGATGAGTGATATGCAAAAAGCATTTATTTATTTAATTTTTATATAAAATTTTATTTCATAATTTTATTGGATTTAACTCTTTTATAGTAATGAGTGTCTTGATTGTATGGAGATGAATAAAGGCGGTGGTGGTTACCCCACAAAAGAGAGAAAAAAAAAGACATATTGCAAATTATAATATCGAATATTAATTAAACACACTTTGTTAATCAAAATAGTAACACTGATATCTTTTTAAACAGTTTCGAACATTTCCGATCGCTTATTTTAAAAAGTATCCCGGCGTAAGTTGTCTTTTGTGACTGTGTTTAGTTTCTGGATTCTATGTTCATTCTAGGAAGGGTTAGTTAGGAACGTATTTGTTGATTGTTTGCTTGTATTTCTGTTTTTTTAGAGTTTATATTATTCCTATATATTTTGAGTCCATCCTGTACGTGGTGATTTATCGCTGTTGCCTTGGAAATAAATAGAAAAATATATCAGGTAATGCAAGAAAAGAGTGCTCAACTTTGCGGTGGTCGTTGTTTTACGAACGCGTCTGGTTTGATTCAACTGCGTTCGCGCGCGGGCGTTTATATTATTTTAACAAATCTGTCGTTAGAAGGCTTTCAAACGCTTCAACCAAAGATACTAGAAATACAAGATAGAGTTCTCGCATTGTAAAAATGAGGCGGAAGTCGTGCCCAACGTAGGCGGCGCCCTTCTTTTTAACCATGCAATATACTTCGTGCCCAACGTACAGGGCGCCCTCACAGATTGACAGGACTATATTTTTAATATACTTCATAACAGGCTCACTATATTTATTCATATGGTGTAACTATCAAAATACAGGAAGTAAATAAATTGTGAAATTTACGTCAGAATTCGTTTTCGTTTTGTAAACGCCAGTGGTGGTACATTTTGGAAGGAAAGGAAATAATGACGATATAGAAATTCCAAAACTGGTAGAGTATTATTAAATATGTATTTATTATATACAAATTATTATAGATAGTTTTGTTACTAAAACCTCATAATATTAGTAAATTTTTACTTTACTTGATCTGATGTTTGCGTAATTATTTTTCTCTGTTTTTGGATTTTTATCGTTTGTAAAATGTTACAGTTAGTTAGCTGCACTGGGTGCGCAGGGTAAGCCTAGGCCTACCATACTTAACAATCAGTGTCGGGGCCGTCCTCACAAACAGTTTGCTAAAAATGTGTTTGAATACCAATTTTCACTGTATGCTCTGAGAAAAATGTATTTCAAGTAAAGTTCGCGTAGGATTTCAGTAAATCCACCTGCCGTGCCGTTGGTATTTTGTTCTATTTATGTTGTCAACTCGTTTGAAAAAGCACAATTCGTCGGGGAGGGAAAAAAAGTATATAGACTCTAAAATCGATTAAATAAGCATTTGAAACCCCTAAATTGTCAAAATTTTTGGGGGTTCGCCCCAAGGACCACTTTCAGTACCTTTTAATCGAATCTCGACCACGCCCACTTTGCTTTCGTCGGGGAAATCTAACCCCTCGTCGGGGCCTCGGCCCCCTTTGTCGGGGCATCCGCCTCCTCGTTGGGGACCTGCCCCCCCCCCTCCACGTAGGGCAAATCCTGGCGCCATCCCTGTTTGTGCTGCTGCTGCTACGGCCGGTGACGGCCGATCGTTATGGAACGCCGGGAGTTCGTTCCATACATGGAGGCACGACAAAGGAATTAGAGACATTTATGTAAGCAGGATCACAAATTCGTTATTATCTTTGTTTTGTTTGCGGTCAGCGAAGCGACATTGCACCTGCACTCGTAATCCTTCAGACACTCTAATGAATAATTCATGATTTTTTGCTCAACTTACCTACGATAACTGCTTCGCGGCTGACGAAGCAGTGGTGGCGCCAGAGGGGGGAGGGGTGGCTGAGGGGCTATAGCCCCCCGGTCGGGGAAGCATAGCCCCCCTCCCGACGGGGAAGACGATAGGTTTTGTCGGGGAACAAACAAATAAAAAAAAATATTTACATGTAATATTCGTTTAGCAA